CATTTGTGGAAACTCGGCCGCTGGTTGCAGAAACTGTTGTGCAAACCTGCGGAAACATTTGTGGAAACTCGGCCGGTGGTTGCGGAAACTGTTGTGGAAACCTGCGGAAACATTTGTGGAAACTCGGCCGGTGTTTGCGGAAACATTTGTGGAAACTCGGCCGGTGTTTGCGGAAACTGTTGCGGAAACCTGCGGAAACATTTGTGGAAACTCGGCCGGTGGTTGCGGAAACTCTTGTGGAAACTCGGCCGGTGGTTGCGGAAACTCTTGTGGAAACGTGGTCGTGGAACGTGTGTGAAACGTGGGAACTCTAAACTCGTAAGCCCTTCGGGCCTTGCTTCCGCACATGTTTCCGCATATTGTTCTCCACAGCGTTGTCCGCAGAGTTTCCACAGAGTGTCCGCATAGATTCCGCAGAGCTCCACAACGTTGTCCGAAGAGTTTCCACAGAGTGTCCGCACAGGTTCCGCAGAGTTTTTCAACGTTGTCCGCAGAGTTTCCGCAAAGTATCCGCAGAGTGTCCGCAAAGGTTCTTGACAAGTCACACACCTGAACGAGAGGTGGGCGGGGGGGAGGGGGGGCGGAGGCTGGGGCGGGGGTTGTCTGGGACAAGTACCTGTAACATCCTGTAACCTGACTAGGACTTTTCTTCCCCTAAACCCCTGCATCATCCTAAACCGAAAACCTTAACCTGATGAGCCTCTGTTTCAACGATACAATAACACCTCTGATGTAGAAAACACACACACAACAAAAAAAAACGGACCACGGATTTTATAGGTCACGGGAAAACAGGAGCCAGATTTTATAGGTCACGGGGCACACAGGAAGTGACCCTTATTTGTGTGTAACCGTAAATGACAAAACAAGGCGCTCGGATTTTATAAACCCAAAGAGCCTCAACCAAACGCACCATCAACCAAACAAGTCATATTATTGCTGCTCGCCACTTATCAGACCATCCCCTCAAATCGACTCAAACCTGCTCCGAACTGACCCCAACGGCACAGAAGGCTTAAATGTGGCCTGGCTTCCGGGTAGTAAATTCGGTAGTTGGTTATGTTCGGCACCAAGAAGTGAGGAAACACTGTTGTGTTCAGCACCAAACGGTGTGGAAACTCTGTGCTTCTTGGCCCCAAAGCATGTGGAAACACTGTTGTGTTCGGCCCCCAAACGGCGTGGAAACTCTGTGTTTCTTGGCCCCAAAGCATGTGGAAACACTGTTGTGTTCGGCCCGAAACGGTGTGGAAACTCTGTGTTTTTTTTCCCAAAAGCATGCGGAAACACTGTTGTGTTCGGCCCCAAACGGTGTGGAAACTCTTTGTTCCTCTGCCCAAAAGCATGTGGAAACACTGCTCTGTTCGACCCCAAACGGTGTGGAAACCCTGTCTTTCTTGGCTTGAAAGCATGAGGGAACATGGCTGACAGGTCGTAGCGTTTCTGGAGTTTAGAGCGGCCCTTGAAACGTGTTTGGGGAACCCCCCAAACCTAGAAGCTATTGTTCCTACCTTCATGGAGCAATGGGCCTACATCTCGAACCTGGCAAATTTTAAAGAAGCCTATTATTATACGAGCCAAGAATTAATATAGGGCCTTGAAAACCACGAAACCACATGGCATGTGTGCACGTGTAGTGGCTGCAGAAACACATATGAAACAAAGAACAACTTGAAATGCATTAATTCTGTTTTCTGTGACATTTGATGTGGTCCCACGAATTTGCGAACCTAATTTCGATAACCTGAAATATTTGAAACTAGTGCTCGACATGTGGTTGCCTGCATTCGAGAAATCGAAATAGGCATTTATGTTTTTTGAAACATACACAGTATTTTAGAAAAATGGTTTCCAACTATTTCTATCTTTTGTAGTATGGGCTACAACTCAGGTTGTCTGTGATTTTTCGCTGATACATAAGCTTCATTCATGACCCCCCAGCTGTGAGTGTTCAGTCAAAGCAAGGCCCCGCCCAAGATTTTTGTTACACCTTTTTCCAGCCGTCGAAGGCCGAAACACAGCAGGATTTAAAAAAAATCCTTTAACAAGAGGCAAGTAAGGAGAAACTCCACAGACCGCGCGCGTCCCGAGAAGTGTCGCGCAGTGCTGTTAAGGGGAAACTCCACAGAACGCGCGTCCGCGCGTGTGACGCGAGGTGTGTCGCGCGGCGCTGTTAAGGGGAAACTCCACAGAACGCGCGTGCGTCCCGAGAAGTGTCGCGCAGTGCTGTTATAAGGGGAAACTCCGCAGAACGCGCGTCCCTGCGTGTGACGCGAGGTGTGTGTCGCGCAGTGCTGTTAAGGGGAAACTCCACAACGCGCGTCCGGACTGCGGTCTGAATCCGCCAAGCTAAACCTGGATCACCACAGGTGGCCAGATTTACGCCCCTACGGTTTTCGCTTGCTTTTTTACGCCCCTTTGTTCGGCAATGGTGAATTTACGCCCCTTTGGGTTTTTAGTGTTTCATCATCTCCTTGGGTAACCCATTTGGCATGATTTACGCCCCCACGGTTTTCGCTTGCTTTTACGCCCCTTTGTTCGGCAATGGTGAATTTACGCCCCTTCTTAGGGCATTCTACGCTTTTTTTATGGTTTTTCTACGCATTTTCGATGCTTTTTCTACGCTTTTGTATGTCCCTTTTGGTGCTGGTGTTCTGAGAATTTACGCTCTTTATGGCTTGGCTTTTACAGTATGCATTGCGATGCCCCTTGGCACAATTACGCTAATTACGCCCCTTCTTTCCGGTATACGACATTTACGTCCCTTTCCCAAAGGACCAATAATTGCTTATGCTTTCGGTGACACAGGAAGAGAAACTCCACAGACCGCGCGCGTCCCGAGAAGTGTCACGCAGTGCTGTTAAGGGGAAACTCCACAGAACGCGCGTCCCCGCGTGTGACGCGAGGTGTGTGTCGCGCAGTGCTGTTAAGGGGAAACTCCACAGAAGGCGCGTCCCCGCGTGTGACGCGAGGTGTGTCGCGCGGCGCTGTTAAGGGGAAACTCCACAGAACGCGCATCCGGACTGCGTTCTGAATCCGCCAAGGTAAGGGGAAACTCCACAGACCGCGCGCGTCCCGAGAAGTGTCGCGCAGTGCTGTTAAGGGGAGACTCCACAGAACGCGCGTCATCGCGTGTGACGCGAGGTGTGTGTCGCGCGGCGCTGTTAAGGGGAAACTCCACAGTTCTGAATCCGCCAAGCTAAGGGCAAACTCCACAGACCGCCGGCGTCCTGAGAAGTGTCGCGCAGTGCTGTTATAAAGGGGAAACTCCACAGAACGCGCGTCCCCGGGTGTGACGCGAGGTGTGTCGCGCGGCGCTGTTAAGGGGAAACTCCACAGAACGCGCGTCCGGACTGCGCTCTGAATCCGCCAAGCTAAGGGGAAACTCCACAGACCGCGCGCGTCCCGAGAAGTGTCGCGCAGTGCTGTTAAGGGGAAACTCCACAGAACGCGCGTCCGCGCGTGTGACGCGCGGTGTGTCGCGCGGCGCTGTTAAGGGGAAACTCCACAGAACGCGCGTCCGGACTGCGTTCTGAATCCGCCGAGCTAACTTGGATGGGCCGGGTGGTTGGTAACATATCATAGTATAACCAGTTAAGATGTTTAAGATGTTTAGCTAACCAGGTTAGATACATTTAACATGAGGATATTAGGATTAGCCTAACGACTTATAAGCCTTTATTCCAAGTACTTAGTAACCCTTTAGCCTAAGGAAGTTAACCCTTTTAGACCACAAAACAAGAAGCAAAAAGAGCACGAACAATTGAACCAAAAGCAGCCTTTCAAGAGTTCGGAAACCGCAGAAACGGGAGAACCGTTTTTATTTTAACATAGATTATTGTTGACAGGCACAGACAGAACAAGCCACGGGCCCCCCCAATTCTGTTTTTCGGGACCGCCAATAACAAGCGATGTCCTGCAGAAACAACTTCTTTTTCAGTGCGAATTCGGAAACTGAAAAGCTATAGAGTGGCATCGGCCGGAAAAAATGGTGGCAAGAAACAAATTTTGCCTGCAAGGTTCTCTATACATCCTTCTGCCTTTGCGATTACATGCATGATGACATGGTTTTGCATCTGGCTTGCAGCATGTGTGAGATGCTTGCAGATGCATGGTTGCATGCATGCATGTGGTCATGCATGTCGCTTGAAACATGAGCCTGTGCGAACCCTTGACCTTACATTCTCTACTGGACCTTGAAGCTATTCTACCCAGAGCTGTATAACCTTGAACCCTGAACCCGGAGCCCGAAAACCTAGAAGCCCTGTATAGAGCATGCATGGCATGCTTGCAGCTGCAAGTTTGCATGCAGGACTGCATGGCATTGCATGCATGTCGCTTGAGGCATGAAAAGCATGCATGCTGACATGCTTTGCATGTTTGGATTCATGTATGGTTGCATGCAAGCATGGCATGGCATGTTTGTCACTTGAAGCATGCTGAGCATGCAAGCATGCAAGCTTTCATGACGACAGACATGCAGAGTACATGCCGGCATATGGTTGGCAGGATTGCATGGTGTGCAGACTTGAACTTGCATGACTGTAGGATTCATGGTTGCATGACTTTGCGACTCGTTTCCCAGGCGAGCTTGTAGACTTGGCGCCATCGTCGGCTACACTATATGCTTCAGGTGTGTGAAACAGAGATCTGCATGGGCAGCAATGTGGTAATCGTCCCATCTGCGGCTTTGTTGTAGACCAAGGGCATCAGCAAACGATTCAAGTCCATGACTTCAAAGCGATCTGCTTGTGCCTTCCACTTGGCGAAATGCTCCGTCGGGCTGTGCTGGAGCAAATCCGAAACTGAGACCACTGCAGCATGAACCTCGTCTGTTTGCAGCAAGCAGAAAACTTCTGCACAGCCGCACAGCAGAGGCGGTGTTGCTTTGAAGAGGACATAATCATTTTTCTTCAACATTGCACCCGAAGCCAGTCTGGCCTCACTACTCGTGGATGCGGCTTGGTTGTTGGAAATGACACCATGATCAAGCATCCATGTCTTCAACTTCTTAGGCATGGGATGCGGGTCCACAAGGTGGGCGTCAACATGCACTTCTGATCTCTCGTGAGGTGGGTGACATGGTCGCATGTGATTTCTTGCAGAATAGTGCTTTCATATGTCCTTGTGTTGGCAATACCCGAGCCGTACTTGCGAACATGCTTGTGCTTTCTCACCATCGTGTAGCAACTTGGTGCAGCTCGAAAGCGCTGAACCTGGTCCTCGAAATGAAGAGACCAGTGAAACTTGGGGACCAAGCCATCGGACCATGCTGCATCGACACACAATTGGAGTGCTTCTTCCACACATGCCAAGAGCTCCCCGGGATTCGGGAGCCTAACAGGTGCATGCAAAAGGATCTCAAGCACCCGGAGCCATGACAAGCAGGCTCTTCGTGCAAGGTCACAAGGAAGGGCTTTGCAGCATCTCAGCAAAAAGTGCCGCAATGGCTGGTGAAGGCTCAAAATGTCGGATGCAGAGCATCGCAACTTTTGGTCCTTGTTGTGGCCCTTGACAGCCTTGTCCTCAAAAAGGTGGGCGACACAACCGGCTTTCTGCGATACATGCAATGGCCAGCACCAAAGCTTCATGTAGTCGCAGAGTCGCCGCCAAACATCCCCCATGGCAGCCTCCTTCAGGGCTTGCAATGTCCAGTAGATGACATAGTTCAAGATCCCGTTGGAGCACAGCCCGTGCATCCAGTCGAAAGCATACTGGGTGATGGGTTTAAGGACATGCAAGCTTCGAAGGGTCTCGGACATCAGGAGTGCTTGACTGGAGTAGGTCCAGCCCGTCGCTTGCTGCCACTCCTTAAATTTCCCCTTCGTCAAGCTTGCTTCTTTGACCTTCAATCTGTCCCAGCTGGACAGAACTTCTTCATCGGTGGCAACATGACAAGAAGCCCTTGTGAGGAATTTGGCGGATAGCTTGATCTCCTCGTCACCACTTTTCAAAGTCCAAAGGTTTTTGCAACACATACACATCTTGGAGCCTCTTGCAAGAACATTTGCAAAGTGAAGTACAAGCGAAGTCGGGATGTGTCTGATCGCAAAGCCACTCCATGCTGTGGGTTGGTACTGCCACCAAACAATCGCTCCAAGAGAATTCGGATGCATTGGCCGATTCCTGCTTCTAGACGTGCAACCAAATCGCTTCTGAGAACCATGAGGGTGAACCAGTTTCTTTCGTCAGACAAAAGTTTGGGTGTCATTTGCAGCCATGAAAAATAGATAGCCCATGTCTTACGTCCAGAGGAACTCAACTGGTTCCCTGGATGTACTTCGTCGGCATAAAGGATGCCATGCCAAGGTGCTTGTAGCGATGACGGTCTCATTGCATGCAACTGATTCAATAGATCGGCAAAATAGTTGCCTTCGGCATAGCACCCTTGCAACAAAGTCAAAAGGTTGCAAAAGGGAACCTTCATGGTCCCGCCATCTAGCATCTTGCACTCCATTTCATCCACCAGTGGGCCATACTGGTTGAAAGATCGGATTTTCTGCTCCACTGCCTGTTTTGCAGTCTTTCTGGAATGCAACTCTGGCACACCTTCTTTTTCTACAAGATCAAGTATGCTTTGCAGGGCTCAAAGTGAAACGTAAGGCAACTGCCTTCTGAAGTCTTCCAGCTTTCTAAGCTTGGAAGGTCTGTCCGAGCTGCTGGCAGCATCGGAAGCCATGGTTGAAATAAAATGTCAGAATCCTGATCCAAATTCTTATGCTTGTTCCAATGCTTGTGGAATGTATAAGATGACTGGTTCTCTAAACCATGTACATGACATATGGGGCATGCATGAGAAACCTTGGACACCAGCTGCAACAGAAGCTCTTGCGCATCACAGATCCTATAGCTGGCTCGGAGCAAGCTTGCACATGCAAGCAATCTGGCAACCCTGTTTTCTCATTCTCGCTCGCACCCCGATTTGCTCCACAGAGAAAGGCTTGCGAAACATGGCTACATGCATGTTGCATCCTATCTCATGAGGCACCCAACCCCTCCCCGAGCCCAGAGCAGTCAATGCCTGCTTCGAGGCAATTTGGCCATAGGATAAAAAGGATAAGCATACTCACTTCTTTCCCTTCTTCTTCTCTGCCATGTACTTTTCCCATGCTCTCCTGCCGATGAGCCTGACCCCCTTGAAGCCGTCGTAGCTGCAGGAGGGGCAGCCTTTTGGGTTCCCCCTGCATCTCGTGCAGCCCCAACACAAAAGGACATCCTCGTCACCTTTGCCCTTGTTGGGCTTACTCGGCTGGGCAGCCCCCTTGCCGCCTTTCGAAGCCTTAGCCTTGCTGGGCTTGCTGGGCTTGCAGGGCTTGCAGGGCTTGCAGGGCTTGCTGGGCTTGCTGGGCTTGCTGGGCTTGCTTGTTTCAGCAGTTGCAAGCTCTTCAGCTGCGGTTTTGCGCTTTAGCCTCTGGGAGACCTTCTGGTTGTCCTTCTTCGAAGCAATCGCGGCTATGGCTTCCTGCTCGTAGTCCTCAAGGCTTTTGGTCTGATTCTGGTTCGTGCTTTTGTTGCCTTCGTCAGCAACCATGCTCTTGGCTTCGTTCGTGTCCTTGCCCTTCTCAACAAGCATGCTCTTCTCTTGGTTCGTCTCATTGCCCGTGATGGCCACCATGCTCTTCTCTTGGGGTGCTTCGCTCGACTCAAGAGGGAGTGCAGGCAGCCCCAACTGTTGCCGGGTTTTCGCCAACTGCTCCATGGCCGATGCCTTCTTATCGAAGATGTGCAGGTTTGCCAAGCCAGTGTTTCCATCGCCGGGGTTAAGCGAGCCGGCTTGCAGTCGCTGCATGACCTGGATGGCTTGTCCAAGCATGCCCATGTTCATCATGCCCATGTTCATGCCATTCATCATGCCCATGTTCATGCCATTTCGCTGGCCTCTCGGATGGTTTCCCATGCAATCCTTCTGATTCCAGCTCAGAAGCCTGTGGGTTTCTCTGACCGGGCAATCTTCCTGCAAAGCTGCCCAGCCTGGCAGGCTCACCAGAGAAGGCCCTGGCCCATCAACCCCGTAAACTTTCCGAACCCAGTCCTCTCCAAGCACCGTTGGGAGGGAAGGGTACGTTTTCACGGGTGGCACAAGCGATGTGGTATCATCATTTGCGAAGAGTTGGGCGATGTTCTTTGCCTTGGCATATATTTCATCAAGACTGGGTTTAGGTAAACCTTGCCACAAGTACGACTGGACTTCCATCGCAACCGCAGACCTTTTGGAGTCTTCTTTGAGACTCGTCATACCGATTTTCTTCAGGCGATGTACTATGAGCATTGGCACTGTGGAGACGTCTTTCGTCATCATCAATTGCAGCTCATCTTTGGTGAGATAAGCCGGTATATTTGTGATCGACTGGGGACTCCGGACCGTCTTGCTTCCCTGTTCTTGGGTCGCAGCAGCGGCTTTCTCCATGATGGTATCCTTCAGCTTCGTTTTCAGGTTGTCTGCCAGGCTGCAGGCCTCGACCGCCTCGATGCAGTGCACAAAGTCGCTGGGTAGGAAACTGCTGCTGTTGTCCAGCTTCTTCTGGAGGGCGGACAGCAGGCTGTCGTTCAAGGTGGAACTGGAACTGCTGATCTGGATGAGTTTCGCGATGTCAGCAAGTTCAGCCTTGAAGTCGTCGCTTGTCCACGACATCTGGGAAAGTGCAAAAGGGAAAGTCAAGCACTCAGGTAAGCACACGACTTGATCACAAGGATGCCCAAATGCATGCATATGCCACCAAGCACAACAAGCTTCATTATTGCAGGGCAAATGAAGAAGCCATGCATGTTTCATGCAAGCACAACCATGCATGTCCAAGTCATGAAGCTGCAAGAAAACGTGCATGCTTCATGCGACTTCAGCAAGGCATGCCGCAACAAGCATCATGCAACTGCGACACAGCCATGAAATGGGAGCCTCGTCCTTTTCAACCGCACATAGCCCAGCTCGAGGGGTCTCGTGCCCTGTCTGGAAGACTGTAGAGAGGACTGGCCGGGTGTCAGTCCATTTCATCCAATGACAGGGCCCGTGCAGCTCGACTCTGTCGTGCATCACAGGTCTTCTTATGGCCACACCCTTCCCTGCACAAGGAACAGCAATGGATATGGTGTCCACTGCACAGGCGGCTGCACGTCTCGCAAGATCGCCAGCTATCCAGCAGAGCGGGGTTCACTGCATTACACCGCTTAGAATGTCGTGGTAGGCCTTCACGGCTGCTGCTGCAGCAAAAACGGCCCTTCTTCGTCATTCTCGAGCAGCCTGGTGTAGTGCACGGTCGCGAAGCTTCGGCCATGAGTGCTTGTTGCAAGCAAACCTGCTGTCTTTGGAGCCAACCCGAGGCTGCATGCAACAGGTAGCTTTCCGTCTAAACATGCATGTTGCAAGCAACACCGACGACACATTTTTTTCTCGGCATGCAGCAAAGAAGTCGTCGTGCTGTTATCCAAGTAGTGCTGGGTCTGGTTTTCCGACCAGAAAATTTAATTGCTTCGCAAACTCTCTTCAAGAGCTCAGTCTGCATCTGCTCGCTCCTTCCAATAAACCCACCACCAGATCCTCATGCAGCAACACAAGCATGCTTCATGCAACCGGCAGCAGCCTGCAGTTGCTGCCGTGCTGCTGAACTCCGCCGAACCAACCCGTCTTCCAGCACCATTTCCACTTGTATCGCAATGGGCTGCGGGATCGTGAACGGTCCTGGCCAAGTCCCGGCAGTCTATGCTTCAACTCCACTCCACACATAAAAAGCGGCAGGTCTCCTCTCGTGCCATGCTCGAGCTGTACAGAGAGAGGCGCCAAAATTGCAGCGAGCCGAAAGGCTCCGGAGGCTTGGCGTGTATCCTCGGGCTAGAAGCAAGCTGGCTCGGGCACGACATGTCTTTGGTCGGTTGGCACACAGCCACCTATGGCCTACAACAGCGAAACAAATGCTGCATGTTCTGTCTTGATGCAAGCACACTTTTTGCCACCATTCCTCACAGCCGGGTCCCTTGAAGCTTCATGGTCCTCCGGAGCCAGATGCCTGTTCTTCCCCCTCAATGTTGGTGCATGGAAAACCTTCGAGCCACCCTTGGAAAACGAAGCGGCTTGTGTCGTCAAGGAAAGGATACAATGCCTCCATGAAAGAGCTGACAGGCAGATGTGCTACCATAGCCACCATCCTTCGTGCCATGTATTCGAAACTCACGTCGCTCATGCATCTCCCGAAAGTCTTCTGGAGCAGGTCTCCAAGGCAGTCCAGGATTTCGTGTCGTTTTCGACCAATTGTTTGGCTGGCTTTTTGGGCCAGCCAGCTTCTGTCATTCTCCGGGATGTTTCTATTCAGTCTCTCCAAACATTGGAAGTCTAGAAGAAACTGCTCACAGTTGTCGCCAAGCTGTGGTCTCACATACTCCTTGAGCCGTTCCATCTCAGCACGTTCCCATTGTCGCCTGGCTCGTGTCAGTTTTGTCAGTTTTGCATTTGAGGTCCGGCGGTCTCCAAAGGAGGCTTCCAGGTGTGCCTGCAAGTAAAAGAAGCACAACTCGCGAAGAGCAGCATCCAGAAAGTTTGGAATCCCGGTGGAGCCGCCAGTGTCATCATCGGCACTTGCAGCCATATTGCCGAATTGATGGCAGGAACAAGAATTCTAAGCTGTTTTTATTTCTGGTTGTTTCGAAGCCCGACTCTGTTGAGTGTGCTTGTGGTGCTGCAGGTATTGCACTCTTTGGACTGCTTCTGCTCTTGTTTGTCCTGCTTGGATCATGTCCAGGAGCCAAAACCAACAACATGTGCAGGAGATGCAACAGCGATTCTTGAAGTCAGCACACAAACGAGAGAATTCAGTATACTGAATTCTCTGAGGGCCGCCCGGGGAGAGAATTCAGTACACTAAATTCTCTGAGGGCCGGCCGGCCAGAGAATTCAGTACACTGAATTCTCCGGCCTAGGAGAATTCAGTGTACTGAATTGTCCGGCCGGCCGGCCCTTAGAGAATTCAGTATACTGAATTCTCTGGCCGGTCGACACACAAACGAATTGGAGGCATGGCTGCTGCTGCATGAGACAATCACTGTGCCCAGGCCTGGGCACATGCGCCTCCCATGCAACCTCAACATGCTCAAGGCAGACCCTGCATATCACATGCAAGCCAATACAGCACATGCCAGGCAGGATTACAATACCTAGGCATGCCATGCAGGCTGCAAGCAACACATGCCAGGCTCATGCAAGCCACTCCTATAGTCGTGTCATGCCAGCAAGAGACGAGACATGCAAGGAATGTGCAAGCCACTTCCGGCCATCCCATGCAAGCAGGTATGCCTCACGAACAAGCATGCCGTGCAAGCTGCAAAGAAGGCCTGCAAGGCACCTGCAAGCCAATCCTGCTCATGTCGTGCCCTGCAAATCAGACGAAACTTGCATGCCATTCAAGTGTCAAGCACAAGCAAGGCACGTGCAGACGATGCAAAGATGATGTTGTCAAGGAAGCAAAACAG